ACACAGAACCAGGGTGGGGACTCAGACACCCGTCACACACACAGAACCAGGGTGGGGACTCAGACACCCGTCACACACACAGAACCAGGGTGGGGACTCAGACACAGACTTGTTGTTTTTAACGAACAAGTATTTTTTTTTAAGCTTTATTTTGAAAGAAAAAAACTAAATGAATATGACTTAATTTCAGCTTTTTTTTCGATTCATATTTGAAAAAGATGGTAGTGGAGTATCCGGGCAAAAAAAAAAAATTCCACAAATTAGACCGTGAGCAGGCAGACCTGGAAACGCCAAAAAATAATTTATTTCATACCCCAGTGAGGAGGTGCGTCTATCTGTCTGAACCTGAATAACAGGCTCCCAGAGTGTCGGGGAAATCACAGCTACATATGTGTGTTAGACCTCCATACTGAAGCAACAATGCTTTCGTTATTCATTTATCAAGTCTTCATTTCATGTTTTTTGGATTTGATGGCTGCAGGACTTATAGCTGAGGAACAGACAGTAATTATGGGGAGCACCGAGCACCTGCCTTCAGGGCCGAATATGAGGACCCCAAGGATGGGGCTTTGGCTGTCCTAATAAAATCCTGAATAAAATTTCATCAAAAACGAACCTTGTGCCCACTAAAATTCAGTCAACGTGATCCAGGTTACAGTCCAATTTGTAATGGCAAATTTCTTGAGTGTTGAATCTCTCCTGTTCTCAGTCCCGGTCAACCCTGTAGGTGACACAGGCAGCCGCCTAGGGCGCCGCCTTCGGAGAGCTGATATGCGAGTGGCTGACCTGATTTTCAGTGTGTTGACCCATGCGCAGAGAGGCAGAGACCTGGCCCGCTCCTGCATCCTCTTCACCGATTCGGGCAGCATGCACTCGATGGAAGGGACGTTATGCTTGATGCGGCACCGGGCCAGTGAAGCGGCCAGCTTCGTTCGGAACCTGGATGGAGGACAGCGAGGGACAATCAAAGCCAGGTCCCCAGACCCCCACACTCATCTATCCCTTAAAGCTCTAAAGGAGTGTGGTAATATCTCATTTGTGTGGAGACAGAACCGCAGCTACGGAATGTGATGGAACGACTGAAAATGAAGAAAAGGCAGGAAACATGGTGCAAAAATCCACGGATGAATCCCAAGCTTCTCTGAACTACTAACATAAACATGGAATTCCTGAGACGCATGTGAATGTGGAGAATCGGCAGTTAGCGGCCTGAACGTCCCCTCCTTGAGTGCAGACCACACCTCTGAACCGAACATCTCCTTCCCCAAACCTGAAGAGGCAGCTCTCTGCCTTCCGCACGTCCTCGAGCTGCTCGTCAGCCGGGCCGGCCAGCCCCTCCCGTGGCAGGAACTTCCTGTCCTGGAAGTCGAAGAGCATCACCAGCACCAGACTCATGAGGTCATCGGGCTGCAGGGAAACATGTGGGGTGGGCGGGCCGGATTATTCGGGACGGGGAGCCGTGAAACATCCACAGAAACAGAAAACAAGGACATGAAAGCGTGGAAATACCCTGCACGCAGAAAATTAAACTAAAAGGGAAAAAGCTATTTTCTGTGTCGAATCTGTTATTAAACCTCCGGTGACCAATAGCTACCATTTTTTCCAGGTATGGTTCGATGAAGTTATCGAAATTGCATTTTTATCAGTTAATAGAGTGGATGGTGCCAATTAGCACGTGTTGTTTTGAGGAACTCACTTTTTCCTCGCCCCCCTAACTGATGTTTCCACTGCAGCCTAATTAAACTCAGGGGGAAGCTGCTAATTGTTGGCTATGCTAATGCTATGTATTTCTAGCGCTTAAATGACAGATGGCAGGTAATTGCTACACATATCGCCCACATGTTGTGGCTGAGCTAATCGAACTGAACCAGACAGTTAGAAATGACTTTACTGCATTTACCTGCTTCTGATGGGGGTGGTGGTGAGTGAATTATGATTATGGAGCATTAACTGCTTCAATGCTGATGGGCCGTCCCCCTTTCTACAGGCAGTCTGTAATCTTTAGTCAAGTCAAGTCAAGCCAAGTAAAGCTTCATCATCATCTCAGCCGCACACAGCGAAATAAAACGATGTCCCCCCTGGACCCACTGTGCCACATTCATCCGGTGGCTCAGTGGGCTGAGCCTCTTTGACCGGAAGGTTGCCGGTTTGAGCCCGGCCTCGGCAGAACAGCCACATGTCCGTGGGCCCTTGAGCGAGGCCCTTAACCCCCAGCTCCATGGGCGCCGCTGCAGACGACTGCCCTTCACTGCCAAGCTCGCTCTCACCTGCATGTGTGTCATGGAGAGCAGGATGGGGCAGGTGAAACGAGAATTTCCCCAAGAGGGATCAATGAAAAGCCATTATATTATATATTACAATGTTAATGACACAGCGATGGAATAATTGACTGTGCAAAAAAAAACAACAACTTATAATTACTAATAATTTAAGGAGACAGAGGGAAGACTGCTACCTGAAATAACATAATGTAATATAACGTGTCGTAACATAACATAGCATGACATAATAAAAGATGACATAACGTGATATAATGCATCATAACCTAACATAAACATAATATAACATGACAAATCACTTAATGTAACATAACATAACATAACATAACATAAACACAGAACAGCCATACTATAGTACATAACACCAGGAAATTTGTGTGTGGTAGGACTGTCCATCCTTAAAGAGGCAGAAAATACAGTATTTTATTGGGGCCACTTTAAATGCTACTTGTCTGAATGGGGTTAAAAACAGGCATTTACAGATCAAATGTCTCTGGGGAGGTGAGCAGGCTGACTTAACCGCGAGCTTTCACAAAGCCAGGTGCCCCGCGGGACCTCAGAGCCTGAGGATGTAAACATTCTCTGCAGGCCTGCAAATCAAACATTTACTGAGCTGGCGGAGACATGGAAGGCTGGCCAAAGACCCCGCAGTTTATGCCGCATTCATGGCCAGAGCTCCGCCGTCGCCTGGCAGCCGCTCGGAGGCGCGGCCTGGAATAAGGTCAGCGCCGCGGAGCGGGGAATAGCGGGCGGGCGCTGCTGCCGGTCACCCGGCAACAGTACGCCCCGGTGCGGCTCCCTCTCCCTCTCCGGCACTACAAGCCAATTAGACGCCATTCAGCCGTCTGTCTGTATCATGTGCTGAAAGAGTTAGAGTTCGATTTATGGTGTGTTCAATAGCCTTTAATACAGTATAATCAACGTATAAAAATGGATTCAAGAGAAGCAGATTTATATCAGTATAAAAGAGCTGAGTATAAAACCAGGCAATAACATTTTAAAGGTTACGAGTTTAAATACCGGAAGATAAAAGCCTTCTGTAAGCACATGTGAATTTGAAGGATTAACAGAACAAAGTCACTGTTAACAATCGATTCATCTACTGCGTCTGCTTGGGGTTTGTGACATAAGACTCATCGGGCTGTTTCCTTGGATGCAAGGCGCCCCCCAAACACCTTTTTTGATCATCACGTTTTCTTTTTCCTATTAAAATGTCAGATGTGAGATGAGCAGGGGACATATCGACAGCATGTCATTCAGGAACCTCTGCCACAGAAATGCGAGGGGTCCGGGGGCCGTGTCTACGGATAATCAGCGCGGGTGCCAGTTCGGCGTGGGGGCCTGCGTGGCGTGTTCCTGCTGCAGTGCATTACCTGCCTGCGCTGCCATCCTAACTGCAGGCTGCGTCTGAGGAACCAACCGCTAATGTGTTAACACGCGAGAATGAGGAGCATCAATATGCACCACAAACATCACTTATGTGACATTAGTGTCTCAATAACAGTAATTAAAATGTCAGCCTGGCTGAAATATCTTTAATGAAATAAAGCTTTACTTGCCATTTATACATGGGAATGTGCTACTTTTCCCATATCCCATCTTACTCTCCTTTTTAAGATGTAGAAACATACAGAGGTGAGAGTGAAGTTTGGATCTGCACACAGTGTCAAACTTCTATCAAGGTGTAAAGGACCCAAAAAAGATTGTGGTTATTCTACCGAGCAAGGGATTTGAACCAACACCCTTCTGATCACAGGCACAGATGCACAACCCACCCAATCTTGTGTCTTGATATCTAAGACTTACCGTTTAAGAGGTATAATTTTGCCTGTTGCCCTCTACAAACCTCCCTCTCCTGACACACGTCATATATGCTCACCACTAGGGGCAGTGTGTTATCGTCACTCGGTCACCAGGTTAGGGGTCTGGGTCCATGTCCAGGAGTTTTAGTGTTTGAATCCCACAACCAGAGAATTGCTACCGGTGTTGGACCCTTGAGAAAGGCCGCAACTTCTCCAGGAATTCTGACACCAACACTGTGCCTCTCATGGAGATAAATGAAAACCAAAGTATTCCTGTATACAAGCGGCACAGTGGGAAACGCTCCCTCTCTCTGAACATGCGTGTGCCCTTGCTCCCTCCCCCTCACCTCAGATTTAAACCGCGGCCCAGCTTTGGCTGTCAGGCTCCACAGCCTTTGTTCTGGTTTTTTTTTTTTATCTCAAGGTTGAACTTTACGAGAGTCGGAGCAGTAAAATGAGCGGAGCCGATTCTGAAGAGCGGCTCATCACGTCGGCCTTTATTGTCTCGCCCCCAGGATGCAGAATAATGACCTGCCATCCTCCACCCCCCCCCCCCCCATTGTCCAGAATAAAAGCAGGGGAGCCATATTTCACGCAAGTGCCTGTATATGTGCAGGTGCTGTGTGAGGTGATTCGAAAGGCATTGTCCATGCATGTGATTATCACAGAGCCGGGACTTTACAGACACCAGAGTCGGTGCCAAATTGCTTTTCACTTATTTTCTTTTCTCATTGCTCTTTCTCTCCTTCCAGCATAACGCCTTTCAGTAACGCTGCACCAGCTTTCGTCAGTGCAGCAACCATCCATCGCTATGCTCTCATCGAAGATGCTTCTTCCACAAAACAACAACGATGATGAGACTCCACAATGATTCCTGTCTGTTACTGGAAGTTACTGACAAGTCTGCATGCTGTGAAAGCAGAAGAACCGGGTCACACTCTACAGTGGACAGACCACAGCTGGTTATATTTTCATCTGATTCATTAAGCAGAAACTTTTATCCAAAGCGACATGCATTTTGCAGAAGACAGAGCCAGATGGTTCCTGGAGCAACTGGGGAGTGAAGGCCTTGCACAAAGGATTAACACTAGCATCATTCTGCCAACCCAGGGATTTGAACCAACAACCTCCAGTAACAAACACAGCATCTTAACCCATTGAGACACAGCGATACGGAGTTTAGCAGCTCCGTTACTTTCATCAGCAAACAGTGGAGGAAACAGGCGATACTGAATCAGAGCGTTAGCTGCGACAGAAAATGCAGTGATCAGTCCCCAAGCCTTGATCAAAACAACCAACGTGTGCAAAGCTCTGCATCAATGAAATTCCTGTTGGTGGTCGAAGGGCCGCGAAACATCTATCCATTCAAAATTTTAAAAACTGGATCTAAAACTCGTCAGCTTTGGTTTGACTTTCCTTACACGTCCGTCGTTCTCTAATTTGATGGTTCGCCATGCCCGCGATCGGGTAATTAGTCATGTGTACAGGAAACCGTAACTGACAATCTTTATTTTACAGCCAGTAATAAGAAGTTATGAATATGGTCATGTGCCAGCTGGTTGGTTTATTTTCTTCAACATGGTTATAGTCGTAAACCAAAAGCACTATTTGCAGGGAATTCATGATGTGCTATTAAAAACTTTAAATCGGCCTCCTAGCTCTGCCCGGGACTCACCCCGAAGCCGGTATTTACAGCTTCTGAGAAAAAGCGACAAATCACCAGCCACCTTTTACCCATAAGCCCCGTGCCCCAATTTATTCTCCTAGCGCTGCACTGCAGGAAAACCGTAAACCAGTGAGCGACGCGGCTCTTCGATACACCTTCGAGACGGGGGAGGGGATTTATAACAGCCGTAAACACTGATGTTCGGTATGAGCATTTTCAAACCCTTTTCAGAAAAGCCAAACCTCATTGCAATTCAACAGACAAGCTAGGCGATGTACAATGCTATTGTTAAAAAGCGTGTTTTGTAGCTGGGAAACATGAAGCACGTTGTGCAATATATTTTCAAAGTGTAGGCTTTCTGCAAAGTAATGAGCCTGTTCAATCAAGTAATTACTAATGATCTAAAACAGGTGACCAGCAACCCTAACCAGGATACACAGTCAGAAGACGGCTGGCAGGATAGAAGGATGGATGGATGGATTTGTTCCACACACACACATCCCCTGCCCATTGTACACCTTCCTAAATCACAGCATCCATTTTGTTTCTGCTTCTCTTATACTGTAAGAAAAATGCCAGTTTGTACCTTTGCTTGTGGGCCTGAACCCCAGTGTAGAGTCTGCCAATTGTACCCTAGCTGTAGGTAAATGTACCTTTTAGTCTAATTTAAGGTACAGATATGGACTCTAAGGAACATTCCCACGGTATAAACAACATTGATGTTCCCCCCATGGTACATTTCTGCACCTTAAAAGGCACATTTACCTACAGCTAGGGTACAACTGGCAGACCCTTGAGGATACAGCCCCAGTGACAAGCAAAGGTACAAATGTTATTCTTTTTTTCTGAAAGTGTGTCCTTATCCTGGCTGTCCCACATTTCCACTCCACTCCACCATTTTATTACACCCACCTGCACCCACCCATTCCCCCCCCCCCAGTATCACTTGATCCTGTTCCACGCCCACCTTTTACGTAACATAATGGCCACAAGGTTAAGAACAGGTTAACTTTCTCATAAACAAATTCCTGAGGCTGAAACACACCATCAGGGCTGAGGTCCAGTTCAGAAAAACATCCCAGCCAATTTTAAGCTAGAGACATTTGTGATTAACATTTATATCTAACTAGTGACTTGCTGCAATAATTATTTCCAGCTCTTGAGAGAAACTGGACCACATCAACATTAGCAGCTGGTTAATGTGTCTGACATCCCATAAAAATGAGCAACAGTCACTGTCATGGGTTTTCTTCAGCAAACAGGATTTGGTTTGAACAGATGAGCTAAATCTTCCCTTGGAAAAGTGACCTTAGGTGACTCATACTGGCTCGGGAGGGGAATTAAACAGGATAGAAAATGGCTTCTAGGAGAAAATGAGTAGTATAGGTGTTCAATGCCCCCCCCCCGATTACTGGATTCAAAGCTGCACACTCACCAATGACTGGGACAGGTACAAACAGCTGTCAATCATCATATCTTCAAGGAGGTCCTGGTCTGTAATGAGGACAAGAATTATACTGTAAACCCAGATGTTTTACGTGAAACTTCTTTGGAACATCTAAAATGCCTTCTGATTGTAAACGGTGTGATCACAATCACATATCCGTTTTTCACAAGAAGTGAAACAAGAAGGAACTTCAGGACGACACTGTATGGTCCTTCTTCGGTGATTGTTAATGCGGCGCATTCGTGTCTTTTTCCGGCTTGGAGACCAGCGCTGATCACGGAAGCTGCTGACACGTGTGAACACCACTGACGCAAACTCCCCCCTCGTCTCGTCTGTTTCTCTGATGTGCTTTCGAAGCACCAGCTGTCAGCAGTACGACAAAGCAGACTGTCTGTCGGGGGATCAGTTTGCTCACTGGTGCGTTAGCCATATAAGGCCAATGTAAATAATGTGACTGTGAAGGCACATTTTCACCAAGGGCAGGTGCCGCCGTAATCGGCGGGTTCATCGTCGTCTTAGCTCCAGTCCTCGCAAAGAAGTCGTCCCCGAAAGGCCCCCTGCCTTTCTGCTACAGTAAAAAATGCGGTGAGGGAGATCTAGCAGAGAGATAACATTATTCCAGCCGTGGTCCTCAAACATGTGCACTGGGATGGCAAACCAGGAAAAGGTGTGAAGATGTTTGAAATCCCAACCCCCCCTGGTTTAGCAGATGAATTTTACAACCTGAAATGAATGTCTATCTAGTTCCCGGTGGATTTCGCATTTCTTTCCAAAATATGACAGCCAGCCTCCCTCAGCTTTGTTAGGATTTCCGATCTCCTGTTCTCCTGTTCTCCTGTTCCTTAAGCCTCACTCTCTGGTTGCCAGAGGATTTTATTTTTATTTATATCTGAAATAAAAAAAGACGATTCTGCCAAACGTAGATCTGCTGTCCTGCTCCCTTTAAATGTTGGAAATGTCACCCTGAGTTGTTTGCTAAACACAAACAGGGCCTTGGATCACATAATTGCACTAAATATCTTGTAGGTATTTTTGCGACTGCGTCGTAGGATGAAATGGCAGGGGAACGAACCGGACGTGACAAGTTTACTGGGGGGAGCTGAGTAAGGAGGGGGCCATCGTCGGACACAGCACATCCATTAAAAATAAAGGTGCCTTTTCACTTGGGATGGGGGGGAGGCAGCACTTTGATCTGGGTTACTGGAGGTGAATCACAGCAAGTCACACCAGGTCACACCAGTACCGAGTCTGAGGCACTGCTTAACTGGCCTCCAGCGACAGTGATCACCTAACACCCCCCCCCACCCCCCAAAATGGAAAGCAGAATTTTCCCCATCTGCCCACCCCCACAATATACCCTTTGATACTCGCAGATGCTCTGAAATATTCAGTTTCTGTTATGTTGCTTTCATGAACTCAGATTTGAATATTACTTAATCAGATTTCATTTCCGGATGCTTTAGAGTACTTTTATCTAGAGCTCAGCATAGCATCATTTATTTATATGGAAAATTGATGTATTCATAACTAAACGCTGCATCTCAGTAGCGGTGGGGTTGTGTGTGTGTGAGCTTACCTTATGGGAAGAATAAATTGAGTTTTCCCTTATGGGAAAATTAAACCTAAAAATGCAGAAACTTGTATTTTGTTAGGTTACTTATGGTTATGGTTAGGGTTGGGTAGGGGTTACGGTTGTCATAGTTAGCATTAGTATTTTTCCCATAGAAATGAATGAGCGGTCCCCATAAAGATATGTTTACCCAACATATGTGTGTGTGTCTGTGTGTGTGTGTGGGCGTGTGCTTGATTACAGTGAGCAGCCAACCCTGACACCACAAGGTCTCATCTAGTACACGGGCCGGCTCTCTGGCGCCACCTGTCACAAGATGACGTCCAAACAGGCACCACCCACTCATATCGTCCGAATGACATCATGCTCATGCACCGAACAGGACCGTGTGTTCGGGAATCTTGGGAAACTGGGCTCAGCTGCATCATTGGCCAGGCTGCTCAATTCAAGATACTGTAATGGGCACACGGTACGAAGGCTGTGATGTCATGCGGTGGGAGGTCTGAGCCAATACGGGAGCAGACCAAGGAACAAGAGGAGGTGCAGGGCGCCGGAATGATCTAATAGGCTCCCCAGATAGAGGAGGTCCGGGAGTAAGAGGGGGCCACAAATGCCCGAGATTGATCGGGACTGTCAGATGCACTCCCAACATTCCTCAGCGCGGCCGCTGGGGTGCCGTGCACGTAAAACGGAATGTAATTTCATCCGTAAATCTTGCCTGCGCGTGGGGAACGAGAGAGGAGGGGGCTGGAGCCATAGATGGGGAGCATTAAAGTGAGATATATCAGCTGGGTGACCCGGCCGGCCATCGTTCAGCTTCACCTATAATCCTTTCCAGCTGCTGTCAAGTTAATATAGAGAATTGTGAATATTCAAGACAATGTCGGCTTACAGTGGCTATGACTCGGTATCTGTGATCAGATGGTCACTAGTTCAAATCCCAGAATCAGTAGAGCTATTTGACAATTGGACCCTTGAGCAAGGCCCTTAACCCCAACTGAATAGCAAATTCCAAACCTGAGTTAATTCTTTTTCGTTTCCTTTGAGACGCGACCTCCAGTGACCTACAGTCAGGCTCAACATATGTTACAGTATTGGGAACCAAAACTCACTCAGTTTTCATCTAATCCAACTAAGGACTTTCATGAAATTTGCAAAAATTAACTACGCCCACAGAAATTTTCTTGAAAATGTATCTAAAAACTGAATGAGTTTTGGAAATTTGATCATGCTTCCTCAATTGTACGTCACTTTAGACAAAAGCATCACCTAAATGAATTAAAAAATGTAAAAATATGTCTTCACTAAGAGGCACAGACAGTCTTTCAAAAAAATAAATATTGTAGATTAAAACAATCAAACATCATGGCCAAATGTATGTCGTTATCACAGCCTGAAGTTGGTTCAGCTGATATAGGAATTTTTACAGAAAGTCTAAAATGTATGTAAATATTGTTCATGTTATTAAATAAAAATAAGGCCAAATCTTAATCAGGCAATGCTTCTTCACAAAGGCAAAATGATTCAAGGTAGACAGTTGTAGGTGGTACAAGGTCAGATTTTGATTAGAATTCCTGCTCCGTAGCTTCGCGTTAAATTTAATTTGCATAGAGCAATTTCTCAAATGTTAGACTGGGACATGCGTTGGAACATAAATGGCCATTTACTGCGACTGAAATTGCGCATGCAGAATGGTACTTCAGCTGACGCATTCACAAGCACGCCGTGTCCGGGTGCAGAGACGAATGATCGATCTGCATCTTTGGGCTTCTCAGAGCTGACTTCGGCAACGCCTCCGTGTCGGGGTCGCGTCTGAATCATCCGTCTGAAGACGGTGGCCCATTTCAAAGAGGGACCCAGCAGAGGGTATATACGAAAACAGGGAAACCGCAGCTGGACGACAGCAATATCACGCTTATGTGCATTTAATCATGCTCTACCGGAAGACTGCTTCCCATCAAACGAACAGCAGATCCTCATTTCCACAACCCATTCATTTGCTTATCCAATACAGAAGTATTTCCAAATCCGGTCTTTGGGGACCCAAAGATGGTAGGGAGCAAAAACATGGACCGTCTGCGGGTCCCCAAGGATCAGACTGGGAAACGCTGCAACTCAGGGTTATGGAAAGCCTGGACACTATCCCAGGGAACAATGCACACAAGTCTAGAGACACCCTGAAAGGTACTGTCTGTCCATCGCAGGAGACGCGCACAGACTCAGTCAAGTGTTACGGGTAATTCAGAGACAGCAGATCACTTAATATGCATGTTTTTGGAGTGCAGGAGGAAACCAGAGCACCTGGAAATATATATGGGCTGTGCTGAAGGCCCATTAGCCTAGCATCGTCGCTAACGCTAATGTGGCTATGGAGCTTTTGCTTGTATTTGCTGGTGCTGAAAACCAACGGCCACTCGGTGCCCGATGCTGGGTCCCTCCTGGCCGCTTGACCACACATTCCAGCCTCTCTTCGATTTTAGATCATTGTCATTCCTCTGCAGTGGCCCTGGTCTGGTGTGACTCACTGAGAGCACATTGATTATCTATGCCCCCAGTGAGAAGGACTGTGATTGAAAATGCTTCCCTGTGTTGCCTTTGTGTTTATTTGTATATAGACATAATTCGTGTAATTAATATGAATATACGTAATTTGTTTGGAATGAGGCTTCAGCTTCCGTAAGTATGGTAATCATCCAGGTGCTGTAGAGGTGTGTTTTATCACACGACAAGGAAATGGAATCTGTTGAAAATATGGTGGTGACATCATCTGATGATGTTCTGCCGCCATGGCAACGAAAGGGGAAATCAGCCAACAAACTCAAGGATCCCGTGAGGTGAAATGACTGAGGGTTCAGAAGAAGGGGGGCGGGGGGGTGCCCCAATGCTGGGTATAAACTTCTGTATGGTAGGGGTTTACGCTATTGACTGCTCTGAGCTAATAAAGAATACTGACTTCATAGTGACATCATCATCCGAGGACAGGTAGATGGATTCCTCTTACACTAAGCATAACCAAATGCAGCCCTGCCAATTAGGGTAACAGGAACAGATCTTTATCTCAATTCTGAAAATCACATTTCTCAGAATGTACTAATGTTTCCATCCCAAATAAGTTTTTAGGTTCTTCCAGGAATCCACTGTATGTGACCCATTTAAACAGATCATTAATGCCTATATACAACACAATACATGTTTTAAAGAGAAAAATACATAACAACTAAAAACTAGTCTTTATATTTCTTGTTTTAATATTGATCATTGGGCCTTTGGTCCTTTGATGTTTACCCTCTGAACTGTCAAACCAACCTGAACAGCTACACTGCGCCCTTTCCCCTAGAGAACCTCACAAACACTTACACTTGAGAGTGTTGAAGGCCAGCTCGTACGCAGAGCACTTAGACGGCTCGTCCTTGACATACGGAATGGGAAAAGCGCTCTTCTTGCCGTAGTTGATCAGTCTGTGGGACGGAGGCTTCTCCGTGTGGGCATTCTGGAAGATGGCAGCCGCGTGGAGGTACACATGGTCTGGGAATCCACACGAGCTAGTGGGGGCCCCCTTCAGGGGCAGCTGGGGAGGCCTCCTCAGCGGGGACTCCATCCTGTCCAGAAGGCTCATGTGCTTGAAGCTGGAGAGGGGAGGTGCTGGGTCCCTGAGGGTGTTGGTGTCGAAGCCCACTCTGTACTTCCCCATCGGGGGAGATGCTGGTTCCCTGGTGGTGTTGATGTCGAAGCCCACTCTGTACTTCCCCATCGGGGGAGATGCTGGTTCCCTGGTGGTGTTGATGTCGAAGCCCACTCTGTACTTCCCCATGGTCCTGTGGGTGCCTCTTGGCCCACGGAGAAGCCAAAGATAAAAGATGTTAAGTAGCCTACATAAAAACCCAGTATTTCCCCAGAAAAATGAACAACATTATCTCTTTTTCTGATTATTTTTTCATTCAATATTTTCACTGTCCGTCCTGTTAATTTAGGCCAGTTTCCTTCATTTGCTCGATTATATAGCTATTTTTCAGTGTGTATGCTATACATTATTCTGAGGGACACGGCCATTAACAGCTTTGTAAAGATTCACCCTTTGTCCGTTGTCAAACTCATGTCTGAAAGACACTGAACACTGACTAATGATAGCATTGATTAAAGCCATGGGCGTCGCTGCCATTAAATCTGAGTGGGGTGTGTCCCCCTCACATTTCATAATTATTCGTTCAGAATAATTTGCTGACGCAAAATACTTTAAAATGTATTTCTTTTTATACCGCAAAAATTATTAACAAACCAGTCGACTAATCCTAACAGCACATTATAGTTAGTAATTACTGCTTTCGATTTGAAGCAAGGGGGGGATTTGGGACTGGAAGCCGTGAGCAGAAAAATCACTGATTATTAAAGCGAAATCAGGTACATTGAATCGAAAAGAGGCACGGGCTCACATGAGCGTCTGCTCACCAGCTCGGTCCCCGTGTCGTACTCCCGGCCCCTTTAACTGCAATAACTTACTGCCGATTTATAAGCGCGCCGCCATCCAGCTGCGCGTCCGGTTAGTGTCCACTTAGGATTAACCACACAACCAAACCATTCCCTTCATGTAGACACCCTAATGGAAAAGCCAGTTAAGGAGGCGCGTCCCAGTACGGACCCCCCAACCCCTGGGTTTCGAAATCGCTGCTGCCATGGTAACTATATGCTAATAAGTCCCGGAGGATCCAGCTGCGTCCCGCGCTGGATACGTGGGCATTTTTCCCCATGTAGAGGAAATAGTTGTCGGTGCGGTTCCGTGAAAGGTTTCCTCATACCGAGTTTGATGTTTGAAAATACACCTATTTATTTATTTATTTATTTATGCAGAAAATTCAACATAAAGGTCGCCCGTTGATCCCAGGGCTAATTAATAAGCAGTAAAACAGCGAGCCTGTTCAACCGCTCCAAAATGCATTTTTAAGGAAACCAAGACATCGAATTTAAATCATATCATTTTAAAGTTCCTGCGACCTTGTACTGGATAAGAATCAGAAATCAGAATCAGAAAAAAACTTTATTGATCCCATAGGGAAATTGCTTCTGTTACAACTGCACAGACAGACAGACATCATAGGGCACGATGAATTGTATATAAAGCAGGAAGGAAATGTAATATCACAATCAGAAGTTAAAGAGAATTCAAAAAAATGTCAAATATAAATACAGAATGGGTATCAAATAAGCTGTTGGGAGACCTAAGGATGGACAAAAAAGTAGGCCGTCAGGCAAATCACAAAAACAAGTGAGCCATCTTCAGCTCATGTCAGAATTTGGTCTTGAAGTTAAAATTATAAAATTTTATTTATATTTAGTTGTATATGTTTATTGTGTATAGTCTTGTTTGTATTGTGTGCTTACGTCACTGTTAAAGATGAATTTCCATCTGATGTAAATTTGATGGACATTAAAGGAATATTCTATTCTATTCTAAATGTGATAATCAAAAAAGAAAGATTTTAACATTTATTAGTTAGTTAATAGTACCACGAACTTGACATATTCTACTAACACTATACTCCACCACTAATAATCATGCAAATTAATGTAAATTTTATTTATTTAAACATATTCTTTAATAAAACGCAAAACAATGGAAATACTTTGTAGCTCTTCCTCGTTTATATCATTTATGCATCAATTCTCTTTATATTATAAATGAAAATGCAACCGCCAAGCAGCCCACAATAAAGGGAGACGCACAAACCTTTCCGCTGCAAATGTGTAAATAACTATGCTAAAACATCACGTCTCCGATCAGCAAAAGCTCTCCGTTTCGCTCTGGGAAGATTGAGACTGATTTTTGGTGAATGTGTATTTGGCGCGCCGTTTGACCCTGAATAATAAAGTGACAGACTTTTCACCATCATCAGAGCAGAGTTCACGTTAAGCAAAGCGGACTAAATAATTGACATGATAATTGCAGACGAGTCCGCAGAGGCGGGATATGAATCCCGGCCGCTATCCGCATTATGAAAATGAGGAGCGGCGACAAATGGGGCTCGGACTTGTGTGGGCTGCATAACCAAGCAAATGCGACGGCAGAAACACATCATGTCGGTACGTACAAGTGATGCAGATTGACGAGTTGGTTATAAATGTCCTGGAGGGGGGGGGTGGATATAAAGTGACATAGAGTCGGACATTTAGCGGTCATGGTGAAGGCTCGGGTTGCGTGCTTGCAATTATTACATCATGGAGGCCAGATTTCCCTACAATCTGATAATAACCTGTGACTTCTCACCTTATGGGATCATTTTTTGGTTCCCGCAAGGATGCACTCAATTGCATAAAAATCTGTGACTGCAATCATCCATCCATTTCCATCCATCCATCCATTGTCCAACCCGCTTATCCAACTGGGTCGCGGGGGGTCCGGAGCCTATCCCGGAAGCAACGGGCACGAGGCAGGGAACAACCCTGGATGGGGGGCCAACCGATCGCAGGGCACACTCACACACCATTCACACCTATGGGCAATTTAGAAACTCCAATTAGCCTCAACATGTCTTTGGACTGTGAGTACCCAGAGGAAATGTACAGCAATATTGTTGTTATTCTTGGGATTAGGGTTATGCCCCTAGGATTGAATGGAGAGTCTCCATAAAGATATGAATCAGTGGGTGCGTGTACATGTGTGTGCCTGTGTGTGTGATTATCTGTAATCTACAGTGGACCGGCATCTCATCCACAGGATGCACTGTGCTTCCTTAAGGTATTAAGGTATACTGCAACATTGCACTAAATAAGTGGCATTGACAATGGAAAGGCAGATGGATGGATGGATGGATGGATGGATAGATGGATGGATGGATGAATGGATGGATAATATAACAAAACCAATTTTGCACAAATTGTAACAGCAAAAGTGTTTATCTTTTCCTTGGAATTCCAGTTAATTTTACTTAATTTAATTTTATTTTATTTGTTTCACCGTGGCCCAGAAGGTGTGAAGAGTTAGTGTGGCCCCAAGTGTAGGGTCACTGGAGACGGCGCTGAAGGACGTCACTGGATCTCCTACGTGACGCGGAGGTCCTTGCTTTAGGAATGCTTCTCTCTTCCGGTAGGTTTGTGTACTTTTTGGAACCACAGACAAGACCTACGTAGACATTCTGTGTCTTATGGCCGAAAAGACAGCTAACAAATGTTCAGGAGAAATATGACAGGATACCCTGCAAGATGTTATAGGGAATAACCTCCTGGTGTCTGTCCTCCCAGCTCCCAGAGAGAGCTTGCAGTATGGGCTATAATTAACTTGCTCTCATTTTAAGACAAAGACACCTTTAAGATGAAAGCACGGCAGATAACCCTTAAAACACAATTAGAACTAGCAAAAGTGTATTTAAGCATTTTTTTTTATCTCTATCTCACCACAATAACTATACGGACAAAAAAATCACACATTTTAGTTTGAAACTGGAGCATACACATCTTTGCAATTCAATAATGTTTTTTAATAGAGTTGAACAGTTGATGGACAGATTTTAGCAGTGTTGTATCCCTCTGGGGAGTATAATTATGTTTGGGAAATTTATCTGAAGGAGTTATTTGGTGCTCATAGAGGCTTATGACAATAAGCTATTACACAAACGGATAAATAACATTTTATGACAGCAGTCAGCTATTATCCTGGCTCACAAGTATATGCTGCATATTAAATCCCCCCTTTTTTAATGCCATGTGCTTGAGATGTAAAATAATACGAGTTAATATGCCATTTAGGTGATTTTACAACCGTGTCAGGTTTTTGCTGTTAGCCTGCAGACAGTATAAAAGCATCATAAAGATCAGGCATAAAAACGGAGAAAGTTGTGAGGGAATCTGCACAATGAAAATGTACGATACAAGGCCGTCATTCTGTTTTGTTTTCAATTAAAACAGTGCTGTTTAAGGTTTTAATTTAAACGAATATACTATTTTCGTGATGTGTGTTTTCCGTGTGGGTTCTCATTGATAGTACGTAAGGACACTGACTGTGACTGTGACATATTGATTCCGATCACTAAAGATTTAAGATGGATGTTAACATCGTTTCAGGCTGTTTCAATTATAATAGTTATTGACGAACAAATTTCCTATTGACGAAGTTTAACGAAGCGATCATGTTACCGAAAGTGCAACTATGGGCCACCGTTACACTTACAAACGAAATCATTTAAAAAAAAAAAAACAAGCCTGTACTTATATGAGATACACAAACTGTTTCTTTGTTGACTCCATTGACATTTTGAAAAACCGCAAACCATTTGGGGCAGCCGGTGGCCACGGTCGTTATTTTAACAATAACCTAATACTACTGTACATGATCAACATATTCGGGAGTCAATATTTGTTTCTACACAACATCTCCTCAAAACCATTCATCACCCAAGACAGATGCCAATGAATATTCTTGAGTATCTCCAAATCTTCATTGGCATGTGGTGCATTTTTCCTTTCATACACATAGTATAATTTGCAGCGTATCTCGATTAATAGTATTTTAGGGCGGTATTTCATTTCATCTCGTCATGATCGATTTTTATAATTTGTTTTTTCGTATTAAATATTCGCCACAATTTGAAGGGCAACAAATATGTAAGAAGGGTGACCTCTACTGGCCAAATGTTTCCTAGGCCAGTAATACACCGTATGTGTTTACTAGACAAAATCCTATGCGCTATGCAAAATAACATCATTATATATCATTTTATTTAAAGGCTTTATCTTTATTCTGATTGAGAATACGGGGGGTTTCACAAACAGCAATTGCTAAAACATCCTGTCAGAAATGGACTCCACTTCAGTCTTCAGTTGAAATCTAATCCGACACTCCGCTTTTAACAATTTATTTTCCAGCTACAGCGCCTTGTAAGGGCACAGTTACCTGGGAGTCATTTTGACCAGGAAGGATCAACTCTCTTGGGGGCGAAGGTTCCTTTGATTGACTGTTTATTTCAGGTTTTATTGTCACGTGTTCGGAGCGCGCAGTGAACTTTTTATGCCACGGTTGCAGTGGACAGACACAAATAGTGTACGAGACACTGAAAGACAAGACAGTGCAATATAATAATGATTTATAGCAATAAATAACAAATACGGCGCAATAGGGATGATGTGTGAGTAAATCACACACCGATTAATATTGATAAAGTAGATCAACAATCCACCCACTCATTTCTGACACTGTATTTACTTTACTTTGCTTACTTACCTACGACAAAAACTGTAAAACTGTCTACATTTGCACGGCGAATCCACCATATTTATACTGCCTTATTGTCATTTGCACAAAAGTATTTAATTTAGCTTATTTTTATATTTGAATTTGTCTTGCTTGTCGTTGTTAGGACTCTCACCGTGGGGCCGGAGACTAACGTAATTTCAATTTTGCGTGTGTCCTGCACATACGGCAAAACTAAAAATAAAGACTTCTCGGCGAGAAAACCAGTCTTTCATGACCCCGACGTGATTCGAACACGCAACCTTCTGATCTGGAGTCAGATGCGCTACCGTTGCGCCACGAAGTCTACTTGACTTGATTTCTTAAAAAAAATATTTAAAAAATAATACATTATACACCGTGATGTATTTATGTGTGTATGTACTTTTATACTGTAGTGTCCCGGGCTCAGGAAGGAGCGATATAGTTTTATTATAAATAATTTTTTGTTGGGGTTGCAGTTCTTAGACATACCCCTAGGGGGCAGAATGATGATGGGGCGTTATCGAGGGAGGCTGTTGGACGCTCCGCGTTGTTCTCGTTCTGATGATTAAAGTGTTTACAGAAAACGTAGCGAACGTTGCAGCATTTGAAAATGCTGCCAGGCGTCGTTTTGGAATAATGCTTTACGCTTTACGGCGCATATGTAGCCTGCTTTTTAAGCGCGCTATTCGCTAATTATAGCAGCCAATGACCTTTATCTTCCTGAAATAAGTTTCAAGATTATTACAGAGCCCCTATTTGGTCCGGTGCGGCGTCACTACAGTCACATGGCTGCGACTAACCGCTTATTTTACAAGACCAGCCGTAAACGTCACAAGTTTATAACCGTAAATATGAATTTTACTACTTAGGGCGTTCAAGAGACCGCAAGGGGTCAGTCAGCCGCCTTGTGGAAATGGCCATCCCAGTTTCCAGGTCAAATGCAAATCACTTTCATGGTGAATTTTGAACTTTTTAAAATGATAAACGCCAAGAAACTAACAGCTTGAGTAGAAACGAATGAATATAAATTACTCTCATTTTATAATATTAATATGTATGTACGTAATTGTTGCGGAGTTCGGATACATTTTTTTCTTGCTATGGGTGCGATTAATCTTTGTTTGACCTTAAAGAGTATCCGTCACTGGTGAGCCATTGTAAACTATCTTTGACTCTTTTAAATGTAATACGTTATAATATCCATTTATAACTACTATTTTAAAAATGACTAATTGTGTTAATATCCATCCATTGTGCATATCTGGTTATCCATTACAGGACTGTGGTGAGACTAGAGCAGATCCCAGTCATGTATCCTGATGTCTTTGGGCTCTGATTGGACACCCATACACAGCGAGAACGCACAAACTGCACCAAGCAAGCTGAGGTTGGGAATCAAACCCACAACCCTGGAAGGGTAAGCAAACTGCAATACACTTAGCCCCCATTGTCGAGTCGGGAAGGACGAGGGACGTGAGGGCAGGCGTGGTTGCAAACAAAAGGGGTTTTTATTAAACTCATACAGCTTAAAACGGGAAATAACCAGATTGCAGGGGATCAAAACGCGGAGGGGCTGAGGAAGGACACAGGCAACACGGGGTACAACGTCGATGATCAGACAAACGAAGACGGGACAGGCAGGTGCTCAGGACCACATGAGTGAGGAGACAGGAGGGTTAGGCAGACGTAGCGAGCAGGACCTGACACCCATGGCTGGCTTTAGCTAATACTCCCTTATTAATGAATGAATGCGCTAATTAATAATCTAGTTTTTTTTCTTGCCACGAGACATACTGTTCCTTATGATGACTGGGAACATAACAGGATCAAATCAGTGGAGGTGTAATTATTAATAAAACCAAATCCGAGTTAATGGGGCTCTCTCTTAACCCCAAGGCCCATGGAGATTAAGCAGCCTCCAGTGTGTGTGTTTATATCTGCTTATGTGCGACGGCGTCTGGTCGCCCTGTAATAATGGCTTTGTGCTGGAGAGAGCTGCCCAAGGACCTGCCTGCTTGTAAGCTGATCTGGAATTTTAGCAATAAGTTCTTAATCTTCACAGGAAGTTGCTGAGTAAGGCCGGCGATTGTGCGGCGTTAAGTCGAGGCGACTGCATAAACACTCGATCTCTCAGTCGTGACCCCTCCCCCATCGCAGCAACACGTGTGGCCCCTAACCTGGCCTGCGTTTTGTAAAATGAGGAGGACAAAGTGGAGAAGGGCGTGTGGAAGACAGGTGGATTTTCCACCCGGCCGCTAATCAGTTAGGGTAACAAATAAATTAGGTTATCCCAGGGGGTGTGGATTACAAGTGTGTACTACAACTAACTGTGACCAAAGCAAGAGTAGAGGAGCCACAGCCAGATCCAGGACCTGGTTTGAATATACAACCTTAGAGTGCTGTGATAATGCTGGTCACTGTGCCATAAATTCCTGTTAAAGGACTTGCACAACCTTTTACAGTTGATTGGACTGCACAACAGTGCGAACCCAAGAATCCTTTACTTGCAAGCACTGAAGACAAGGACACCTTTTAAATATTTTGATAGCAGAGTCATCCTGCTCTGTGTTTTTTGTTGGCCGTATCCGTTCGAGGAAACCATAACTTGCCCCGATATAGTTCTGTAATCAGCACATAAGAGTCAGCCTGACTGGAGATAACAGGGATAGATGGGCCTGAAGTTCGAGGCATGCCCGTCCTCCCTGCTACCTTTGTAGTGGTGCTGCTGTTCTTCTGGGTTCAGCACAGCTCACGTCGAGACCCGAAGAAGCCCAGGGTTCAGACGGAAACTCCGAATCTTCGCTGTCACTCATCATGAAACAGTCTCGCCGTGCTCTTGTTGCTGGGCGAGCTATTTAGATGGAAGGTTTTCTAAAATACAGGAAATAGTCACCCAGGGTAAAGGCATTACAAGCACACATCAGGAGATCGGGTTCCATTTCTGTTAGGACATTGAATGTTTTATTCTTAAGTCGGTGTATAGTTATCTTTTGAGATACATTTTAGTTTGCGCCATTTTTCATTTTTTTTGACGTGGTGATCATTACTTAACATGAGTGGCGCGTTTAAGACGTGATGAAATTTCAGAGCATAGCACACGTGGCGTAAGTTCAATGCTGTCGTCCGTCGGCCTCTTCCGGAATCCAGGCGAGGAATGTGGCAGAATTTCAGCGACATCGTAATTAGCGACCCACCGGCTTCAGCTTGGAAAATAAAATCTGCCAGGAGAATAGCTCTCTTTTTAAATGACGCCCACTTGCAGTTCAGAGAATCCTGCCTGTCAGCATCTCTTCCTTCCTTTTGTCTGTTTAGATAAAAAGCAGAAAGTATCATCTTTGTTAGTAGCTTTTAAAAGCCTTTTCCGTTTATTTTCTCCTGCTTCTCTGCCCCGTGTGGCACCTTCCAGGTACAATGTCCCATAATGTCCAGTAACAGGACACCGAGGCGTACCAGAAAATTACTCAGTTCGGGAGGTTTCGGGGGGAGTCGCGTTTGAAGTTACCTCTTAGTGTCCTGAGCTCCGGAGCAGGAAACAATGACTTTTCAACATCAGGTGAAGAGTGTGTGCATGTAAAGAACATTACAGCAGTTGTTGGGAAGGAGCCTCCATTCAAAGCTCTAAAAAACAGACCAGACACCAAAGGTTCTGCAGCCCTAAATCAGGTTACTTTAGGCCGTCCCTCGCACGATACTTCTACAACTTTTTATTCAAGTATATACAAATATTTTAACTATATTTATTATCCGTTTGCTGCTTATGTCCATGAGGCTGGGTTTTAGTTTGCCTGGGGAAGTGCAAGACAGAACCTGATGCATTTAATATTTTTTAAATTTTGCATAATCGTGGTCTGCGTCAGGGAGCGCAGCACTGCAAAAGCGGCTCCGTTCTCGTCTCGGACTTCTCTTTTCTATTCCTATTCGGTCAGGAAGTTAATCTGTTGACACAGATTTTCCGTTAACAGACAAAGCGATGCGGTAATTAGATCCCGCCTCTGGTCCGGGTGGGGGGGGGGTCATTGTCGTGTCTCTGCCTAAGCAAGCAGAGGAGACGGGCAGGCATGGCCAGCCGTGACACCTCCCACGAGCCCGCCCATCGCCCCCACCCTCTCCGAAGGTGAGGCTGCCGGTGAGGGGACTGGCTGAGATGTGTGAAGATTGCTGTATCTGTGTCTAAGTGCGGCGTGGACGTCTCTGCCTGTTCCTGGGTGTTGTTTCCTGTTGCTTTCTTGCCCAGGAAATACTGGAATGAAACTGAATTTAGTTTCAAGCGAGATTGTGGGCTTGTGATTACCAGTCTGCGCTGATTTCAACACAAATGATGTAAATTGCGATATTTTAAGACGCAGGAGGCTGGTTATATCACTTGCTTTTGACTATTTTAGTGGGGTGAGGTGCATTTGACGATTATTATTTAAGGTAGTTGTGATATGACAATGAAAATATGCACAGAATGTACAGCAGTTACCTGTACCCTCTTTACACCGGTAATTCCACGCAGGAACGTCATTCCTTTCTTGCATTGTTTGACAGTAAGGTTTGCATAGCGCCATTATTCCTGTCCGTGGCCTGTCCTTGTTGTTATTGCAGCTTACGTGAATGAAATAAGGGGCCAGTAATCGCAGGAAACATTGGTGTAAAGATATGTAGGAGCGCTGGCGGGACAAGCTGGGGGGGGGGGCTGGCCAGCAGCCAGGCCGCAGGAGGATAGGGTTACATCCCCGATCCCCAGTCTGGTTTGGCAGGTCTAGGGGCAGGGAGCACACAAAAGAGCAGGATCGCCTCCCGTGGGGGGGGGGGGGATGGGGGCAGAGCCTCGGAGAGGAAGGGCAGGCCAGCCGCACGGGGCATTTCCTCCAGCTGCATCGATCTGCCGGCCACTCCGCTCTCAGGCTGCGACGACCTGCCACCGCCCCCCCCCCCACTTTGCCGTCTCCGCTTTAGTCTCTCCGCCGCTCTTCGCTTTTGTTTCTCGTTTTGACGCCTGTCATTCAGTGCCTCTTTAGCGCAGAAGGGGAAGTTTCGTACGTTTTGGACAGTGAAAGAGGGAAAGAGCGAGAGAGGGAGAGGGGCACAAACATTTTTTTTTATGGGTATCAGAGTTACTGGTGTGTGCTAGTACACGAGACCCCCCTCCCTCCTTTAATGCGCTGGAATGTACAGCTTATGTCAGTGAGACTCAGGTATTTTCCCTCAACTCCTGTTAATTGCTCGCTCTCTCCTTAAGAAGTTGTGGGGCAACTTTTACCCCCACCCACCCCACACTCCCCCGCCGAGGTCCCAGTGCTGCGTCTGTGAGGACAAGGAGACACATCGCATGACGGAGGTGAAGAGGAGCGCGGAGACGGAGGTGCCCGCTTGCAGCTGACTTCGGCACGGAGTCGTCGGCTTCCCAGACAGGAGGGGGGGGGGTGTCCTTCGGAGTTCTGCACCCCAGGGTGTTTTTTCTCTGAATGGTGACACGAGCGCCAGAGATACTTTGAGACTTTGGCTGAGACTCACTTCCCCAGGTAAGACGAGAGCCTCTGGTCCTCTGTCCCCCAAAACCGTTGCGCTCTACCTCTCTCTGTTCCTCTCGCCTCTGGCACGTGTGTTTTGGAGACGTCAGGAAAATATCGTCTGGATCGTTTAGCTGCCTGTTATTTGCCAGCGACAGTTTACCGATCATTCCGACTCTGGCGGGTTTTTCTGAGAAGCTGGTTCTGTCACCAGGGGCATTGAGCAATACTGGGGAAAAGGGGATGTTGACAGGTCTGTTTGTGGTACTTTTTCCCATAGAAAGCCTGGTCATTCTGGCGCAGTGAAGCCTTCCTTACAGCTCCAGCCTAATTCTGCCTATTCTGATTGAGCTGAGTTTCCATAGTCGGGTCTAATTTGACGGAGAGGGAATGTTACGAGGGGATTCACCGCGGGGGGTGCCTGTCCGACCGCAAGGGCAACCTTCCGCAGAAGTTACAGGTGGTCTTGCTGCTCTGCACTGAGGTTCCTCAGAAGGAATTCATTCCCACTTAACGGCAGGGGGTGTCACCCATAAAGAAAGGAATTCGAAGGGATCTAAAATGTCGAAAGGGTCCAGTCCAACAGGTGTCTCCAGCAGACGGTGGGGGCCTTAGGGGCAGGCGGTGAAAAGCAAAGAGCGTGAAGGGCATCATCACCTGTCATTACGGTAAACATAAGGGAGGAAGGAGAGGCCGCCACCGGCCAATCGAGTGCCTTCATCTCGCTGCGTTTAAAGAGCTGACAGGGATGCTGCGGGAAGACCACAACCCCCATGATGCACTTGGCTGCAGGTAATCCACAGGGAGAAAAAGAGGTATAAGGGCATTTGAAACTTTAAGATTACACCTGGAAGTGTACTCCCGCAACACTGAAACACGGTAATACTAAGCATTATTTAAAAAATTTATTCGCTATAATTAAAGTCTTTATGTTGAACAATTATAACATATTGTATATCCTTTCAGTCTCTTTCATGTTTTTGAAAGCTGAGCTTGGTGAGGTATTCAGTGTATGAGGATGTAGAAATATATAATAGGAAGAGAATGCCTCTTTTTTGGCAATGAGATGAGTGAATTGTTTGTGACAATAGGTTTGGGATGGGGGAGCTGAATGCTAACGGCACTGTAGATGCGTGTCAGCTGTTGGAAGAGCTGAACTGCATTCCTGCAGCTCAGAACACCAAACGGCTTCGCGGGACACCTCAGATCCGGCGCCGGGCGTTTTCCGGCTCGCACCTGTTGCCACGCATCTTCAGCAGGATATCTCATCTTCGGGGACGTGGTGTGATTTAATTAAGGGACAGGTTCACTTCTATACATACAGACTCAGCCTGACCCTGCAGCTACGTTGGATAGAACTTACTCAACAATCTCTGGCCTTTGGGGAACCCGAGGATTTCTGCGGATGTGGGAGGATTTTGTTAGATGAAAGGTAATCGGGGTGTTCCGGGACGTCGTTTTGAATGATCATCGGAATTCGCAGAGCTCCTTGATAACCACAAGTTAGGGTTTGGGTCGGGCTGTTTTGCCTTTCTGGTAGTCATATTCCACCCTCAGGTGGGTAGGTTTAGCGTAGAGAGTTATGCTGCTTCTTGATGATTTCAGCTGATGCATTTGTACACTAATGATAACTTGATACACTTGGCTTATCCTCAGGTAAACATTGATGGGATATACATGATTTTCTGCTATAGAATGGCTTGCCCACCGAGGCCTGGGGGGCAAGAGCGGTTTAATGAGGGTGGCATGACTGGAGTCTGAGCGATGCGGTTTTGGCTGCTGCTTCTGTGGTGAGAACAGCTAAGGTAAGACGTATTTATGGCTGTTACCTAACTGCAGGTGTCTGACTTGGCTAGTGGGGGGGAGTGCGGCCCTATGGGAGCCGCCTAGCCCCGTCCTGTCGGGGCCTGACAGCGAACGGGCCGCCTGCCCAGATTCAGGCTGCGCGTTACCATTTCCAGGTAGACGGCGGTTCCTGCGAGCGCGTGTGAAAGGCGAGGGATTAGCGCCGTCTGTGCACCCCCGCAGAAAGGCTGCAATTACCAAAAATATGGGGTGAGTAGAGCGAAAGCAAAGATGACAGCTGGGGGCCAGGAGGGGAAATTAACCCAGTACTAGCTAGGATCGCGCTCCTGCCACATTTATCTGCGTGGCTCTCGGGCTGTTGGCCGAGGGCCACACCGCCGTCCTGCCCGCCGTTGTCGTGAAACCACAGATTTGTTTACAGTGCTGCCTTTGTGACCCAGTTCTGGCACTACTTGCCGTGCGTTTTGGTTTTTAGTCTGTGTTTAATTAGACCGACATTTAATAAGTAGTGATAGTTCACGCTAACAGACCTACCCTTCTATGCCCACTTATCAGTTTAAATAGATGTAGAAAGACCACAGCATGCTGCCCAGAGCCACTTGTTTGCAGTACTGCAGGAGTAATTTACATTTTTTAGAACCTTTAAGTATTAGTATATAATAATTCCTGCACACTCCGAAGTAGTAATATTGTAGTTCTTAAATGAACACATTCTAAGGCCACAAGCCTTTAAATGGGTATAATTTTATCAGCTTCTTGTCAAAAACACCAGGAAATGTCGCCTGCATGGCCACTGCCTCTAGCTACCAAGGTCAGGCCCTGTATCGTAACGTAAATAATGTCAATATTAGCTCCTGTTGTTCCCTTTCATCATGAGATGGCAGAGCAGCAACAGCGTTTAGTGTAATTTCAAACGCTTCCTTCAAATCCCGCTGCTGTTTAACCCCAGAGGACAGAAGATCAGCGTAGGTGAATTGAGGAATGGGCCGAAACCTGCCGCGTTCTGTTTTTGGTCAGCGGTCAAGTCCGTGGCACCTTAAGAAGAATGACAGAGAGGAATGAAGTCCATGACACTGTGGCTACAACTGAAGGGGTTTGGACTGAAGGGCCTCTTAGAGATGGACGCCCGTGCTGTTCTGTTACGGAGCCCTCAGCTGCTTAGCCTGAGGTCCGAGCACCAATAATGAGCTCTAAACGGATAAAACTGCTAAAAGTGATAATCCTCACCGGGTTCCGCACGGTAACTGCAGGCAGACGGCCTGGGACCTCTCTCCTGCGCGTCGTCCCTTCTCAAATGCCACCATTCATACCTGAGCCTCACAAAAGCCACATTCTTCATCAGAGCAGCCTGCATGAAATAGAAAGACAGGGAGGAGCCTCCCCCCCCCCCCCCCCAAACATGCACTGCGATAAAACTCTTTTGACAAAGGGGTCTTTTTTGTCTAATTAAGAGAGACTTATTGGGCTAGGACCCACAGAGACCAAAGACTCATTTTTTGGGGGGTTGGTGGTCCCCCCCCAAAGCACACTACCGGAGAGCTGCCCCCCCAAGTGCAGAGACCTGGGCCCCCATCCAGTCCGTGGCTCCACCCCACTCCTGTCCCCTGTCCCTCTGTTCCTGCCTTGTTCCCTGGCTATCTGGCTCTGTCATTATGCTTCATCGCATTACGTCTCCTCCTCCTAATTCTGTTTTTTTCGTCTTTCTCCTTTCTGTTCTACTTTTTTTTTGATCCTGGAATGTTTCTAATTGGTGTTGTTCAGCAGGAGACGGTAGATCTGGGCTGGGGGGGCAGTGGTGGGGCTGGCAGGTGATCCAGTGTGAGAGAGGGGACAGGAATGGGGAGGGGGGCCGAGGCGGGGTGGCGGATGAGGCCATCAGAGAGTTTCGGTGTTGTGACCAGGAAAGCCCACCCCCCCCCCACCAGGGACACAGCCATGTTCCACTGCATACCTGTGCACAATGGGCTTCTTGTTGGTGGCTGGACAGGATTTCAGGGCCCGTGTGGCCGGGAGGGACCCGTTTGCGTTCGTGTGAGGGGGAGATGCTGGCCGATGCCCCCAACCACCTTTCGAACTTCGAGCTGCGAACCTCAGAAGATCTCAAAGATCTAAATGCCATGCAGGCCTTCAAAGCAGTAGCAGGCCCTGCAGCTGTAGCTGATATCCAAGATACAAAAGAATCAATGCAGACCCCATAAATATGGTGTGTTTATAACTGGAGTTATCCATTACTCTGAGAAGTACTGTAAACAAATGAGTTGTTTTTCTTTAAGTAAATTTTATTTATTTAGGTAGGAGTAAGTAACTTCCTGGTGTGTGGTAGCAGGTTGAAGAATGCAAAAAATGGGTTAGGTATTCTTTACTGTAACACTCTTCTAGCAGTTTCTGTTTCCCTCTGTCTGGGCCACATCTGTAATATTGAAACTCTGCAATATTGAAATGTTTACAGCCATTTGAAGAACGCAGACAATACTCTTGGAAAGCTTATTTAGAAAGTCGCGCTGCTTCCCCCGATCCCTTTATCCTATGCTGTTCTCCAAACAACATGTTCTGACGCTTTCCTAATATTTGCAGAAGGCTACAGAAATGTTTGCTCAATCTTTCGTATCGTGTTGGGTTGTGTGGAATCCGCCCACGTACAGATAACTCAGCCTGGAAACCTGGTATTTCTGGTAGGACCTCACAGTCCTGATTATTGTTGTGTAAAGGGTAGGACTGGGAGCCAAATTTCATGTGTCATATTTATGTTTCTAGGTTACAAGACTTCAAACGGAGGCACCCTCAGAGAATTATATCCCTCTGGAGGATTTTATCTGCATACAGGTGTGGCTAGAGAACAGTACGGTTCTCTTACTTTCTCCTGATCACCTATGAAGGGTCGCAGATAGAACTCAGAAGTTTGCTTTGCCGTGCTGTAACCTCGATGGTGATTGGGCACTTTGTGCTTGCCAAGCATTCACAGCTCACAGTGCTAAACACATGAGATGTTGGCAACGATTACTGCTCCTCTCTGCGGTTGGTGACATCAGCGTGAGCGCTGTGTGTTGCTGTCTCGTGCTGCGCAGATCAGTCCCATTCGGCATTTGACCTTGAGCACATGACCATACTCTGAATGTGCCCATGGCAGGAGATCATGTGATTTGCGACTAAGGAATCAAAGCTGGGTTTTAGCATCAGCTGACCCCTGATGGCAAAGTCTAGAATTATCTGGATCTAACGGCTCCTGGTGTAGACTATAACTATCAAAGTATCCGTCTGTCTATATTCCAGTCGCTTATCCTAGACAGGGTCGTGATGGGGGACTGGCATCCCACCCAGGGTGTGTCCCTGCCTTGTACCTTATACTGAAATAGCCCATAAAACCGGAAGTCGATATGGTCTTCCCTCTGAAACCCGTAAGACCCGACCTGTCCTCTCAGCTGGTTGGGTAACTGCCCATTAATCTCTTCATCCTCATCACACCTCACTGCTGTGCGTAATTCAGTGAGGAATGCCGCTTTGTACGACCCGAAGCCGCGAGCAGCGGGCGGCCCGATAAGCCGCTAGCGGGTTTTACGTTGCTTTATGTAAAATCGGGTCTCCTTTACTTAAGCGTGTTGGTGTTTTTCCATTTGCATTCCGGCTCCAAGGGCTCCCTGGAGGTCGGTGCTCATGAATTTCCCCAACATCTGTCTGTGTTAAGTGGAGGTCCCATGTTCTCCTGCTCTGTTGATTCCTTCTTTGCTTTCAGCCTCCTCGATCAGGTGATCAGCCAACCCCGTGTTCTTCCCTAGTAGGACTGACTTTTACCTTAGCAATAACTTGTGTTTGCATAAGGGTAGTTTGCTCCTTTGACTTGTGGGATTTAGTCTGCCACTGGAATCCATTGTCAGATCACAGTGTGATGATGTTTCACCTTTGGGCTCCGTGGGTCAGAGACAGTGAATTGTTGCGTGCAGAGATACTTGGACAAGAAACGTGATTAGCATGGAATGGAATGATGTTCGCAAATTGTTTCGTATGAGTTGTATTGTTTCATATGATTCATGAAATGCTCCTAAGTCATCAAATCTCAAAATAGCTTCTTTCTTTCCTGCTTTCTTTTTCTTTCTTTCTTTCTTTCTTTCTTTCTTTTAACACCATTGATTTTCTGCCTGTTGTATGTTTTTATGGCCGAGCTGGGTGTGCTGATGGCTGGGCTGATGCCTGTGCTGATGGCTGGGCTGATGCCTGTGCTGATGGCTGGGCTGATGCCTGTGCTGATGGCTGGGCTGATGGCTGGGCTGATGGCTGTGCTGATGGCTGGGCTGATGGCTGTTATGTAGGGTGTTATTGCACCCGGTATGGCCCATGTTATCCGTGGCCAAGGCACTGCAGCTGAGATCCAGTGAAGTGCCTCTAGTGGTTGCAGCTCCAATTTACTGCCAGGAGAAAGCACCCA